TGCCTTTTCTCAGGCTCTTCCTTAAAGAATGAGTTTGAGTGTCTTTTTAAACTCAGCTCAAAAACGTCACTTCTCTTAACTTTCTCTGGTTAGTCTCCACCGTGGATGTCACCTTGTTCCTCTTGGATGCTTAAGATGTGAGAAATGATTTAAAACCACAGTTATAAAAGGGAAACAGAAAAGCTTGCTTAAAAATCTGAAAAGTTTGCTTACTTTAAAGAATGAGAAACCATATTCAAGGGAGAACATGAAGAGCATGGTCAAATGACCACTGGAAAAGCAGACCAGCCATTCATCTCAACAGAAATCAGGACACACTGCCCAAGATAAGGGCAGAATGACCCTGACGCCAATTCAGAAAATACCAGGATTCCACCCCCACCAAATGTGTGCCATGGAAGGGTCTGGGGAGCTGAATAACTCAAAGAAGGGGCCATGGCTACCTGCAGGTCTTCAGGCTTTGCTAACTTCCGCTTTAAGACTCTTGCTTGCACTGTGTTTTCTGTACTATACTTCTCACCTGCCCCAGGGTGCCATGTGCTGCATTCAGCAAAGGCAGTGTGGATCTGGCTGCCTCTATCTAGAATCAGAGAATACTTTGGAGGGTCTTAGAGTGAAAGCAGAGAATTTCCCCTGGGGTAGGGCCACTGAAGACAGCCCATACTGGGGCAATATTCTCTATGGCCAGGAGCACAGTGTCGTTCTTGAGACAATTGGCTGGCAGAGCTACCAGGGTGAGAATTCATCAGGAGAGAGCTGCCAGCACCTGCCTTGAACATGTGATGACTATAATGTGGGTTGTGCCCAGCAGCGCAATAAGGACAGGGTTATCTGGAATCTTGGGAACCCAGCATGTCTAGAAAGTGAGACAACAGCTCCAATAGCTCCAGATGACAGAAAATCAAGACAATCTTATTTTCAAACTTTAAGGTTGTATACTTGTTCATTAATCCTCTCTTTTCTACTTCTTCCTTTTTCAATGAAAAATGTCTTAAATCTGGAAATTGCATTTCGGAGGCACATTTCTTGTTTGATTTCACAGGATAACAGCTAAGGGAGAATCTGCCTCGAAATGAATCATACCCCAAGTCTCACCGATATCTGATTTAGATGCTACTTAAATAAGACTTTGGGTTTTAAACTTTTGACTAGTTGCTAAAATAAGCTAAAACTTTGGGGCTCCTGGATGGAATGAATATATTTTGCATGTAAGAATAATATTAATTTTGGTGGGCCGGGCCTGCAATGTTCTGGCCTTAATGTCTGTATACTTCCCAAGGTATTATGACATAGAGTCTTGAGAGACGATTATTAGTTGCCAGGAACAAAGTGCTCATGAATGGGATTAGTGCATTTATGAAAAAGGCCTGAGAAAATGTTTGTTCCTTCCACCATGTGGCCACAGAGAGAGAGCGGCATCTAAAAAGTGGATCCCTGACAGATACAATCTATTGGCTCTTTGACCTTGGACTCTCCTGCCTCTAGAGCTAAAGAAGAAATTGCTGTTGTTTATAAGCCACCTAGTTTAAGAAATTTTTGTTATAGCAACCTGAACGGACTGAGCTAGGACTACTGCCATGGGTGCCCTGATGGCTTTCGCCAGTGTGGGTATCCTAGAGCACTCACTTCCGACAATTAAGTGTGAACACAAATTAAGGATTTGGTCTTCCTCAAGCCCCGAAGCTGAACATGAAATGCAAAGCTGCGTCCTCTGAAGGGTAACTGCAGAAAATCTACTCAGCAGAAAAGGAGGATGGCAAAGACGGGTATGTGTCTTGGCTACAGACCGCTGAGAAAGGATGGCTTTCTGAAAAGTTTATAACCACATCCTTACTCTCCTATAGTTTAAGATTTAGATATTCTTTTATCTTTCTGGCTCAGGAAATATCAAGTCAAGAACAACATGTATTAACCAGAGTTGGCTGCATCTAAGCACCTGGAGGAAGCTAGAGTAGCTCTTTCTGGAGAATCTCCTCTACCCACGTTCAGTGAAACCCAAGCTCACAAAATTATGAAACTCGCACTGAAAAGACACCACAAGCAAGAGAACGAGAAGCAGAAAACACAGTACTGTCCAATCCCTCCTAGGGCTCTTATATTACAGGTAGTAAACAACATAAAAGTCTGATATAGTTGAAGAATTATGGATTGTAGATTCCAGAATGGTGACAGAAAGTTAAATGACTGGTATTTTGGTGCTGTGTTCAGAGGTAGGCTATAGAAAGAATTTGACAGCATCTGTTTGGAATTATTGCAGTTTTCCAGTAAGACCCAAAATCAAATCAAGAAGGCAGTTTTCCTCTCAGGTTCACCTGCTACCTCTTCTTTGCTGACCCTTTCGTTCACCTTTTTTCTTCTCCAACCCCTGAGCAAGTCTGGAATAACCATTCCAACTCACCTCAGAATGAAGACAGTACAAGCATCATTAACAATGAATTTGAATTTTTATGCTTAAGACAATACTTGTGTTCTATTTTTATTTGAAAATATTTTACAATATTAATTTTAAAATCCTGTCATTGTGGAATCTTAAATTTGACTACAGTAATGAAATAAAATTTATAAATCTTTTTATACAGTATGAAATCAGAGCTTTTAATCTGAAAAAATGAAATGTTATTTGATATAACTATCAAAAGATACAGTAATTCAACAAATACTACACAAACTTTGTCATTTATCCTTATTGTTTTGATAAAATGATATCTTGGGTTATAAATAGCTTTCTTAAGGCAAGGGATTGCTTGAAAAGTCATTATTACATATTAGAAGGCTCATTCTGCATTTCTTTTAAAAGAAACAACATTTAAATGAACATTACTTTGTGTCTGTAGATAATTAATGAGCAGAAACAGTCACAGTTCCTGCTCTTGTGGAGCTTATAACATAATGCAGGAAACAGATAATCACTAGACTAAGTACCAGATAAATGTAGAATTGCAAAACAACTATGACACATCCTTCTTGACTGTATTCAACAAATGTATTAGTTTCCAGGCTCTTCTAAAGATTATCTCATTTATCAAAAGCTAAAAGGCAGTAGGTGGTTTAGACTTTGTGTGAAATCCTTATTTTTCTAAATAGTGTACTTGGACTTCACATGGGCAATCTTCACTTGATACCAATTCTTATTTCGTCTTACAAAGTTCTTGATTTTGCCAATATTTTAGAACTTTTTAGGACCGTTTCATTATACTCCCAAATAACAAACTGCTGAATTTAGTAACTGTGACAATTCAGCAAATTTTGTTGTTTTACTTACAAACACTGAGCTATGACCTACTGTGTGGGATGCTTTAATAAATAGATTTTTAAAGATTTCTGCTTTTCATTTTCATAACTGCATTTTTAAGGAACCTTTAACATGAATGTGATTCCAACTACCCACTAGATAGAGCCCCAGGTCAGAATATAGACAGGTCTGCTAAGTCTCACACAGGGAATGCTGAATGGGGGGACAGGGCTCAGAAGGTATGATGGGGGCCAATGACCTCAAATCACCAAGTTCCAATTCCTTATAAGCCTCTCTTATATATAAGTCTTTAAAACGCATCCAATCAATGCGTAACAAATTGTGGGAAACATAAACAGTAAAAAGATAATCAAAGTCCTGTTCAAGTTGTGCATTGGATGACCTACTTAGTAATAATCTATCCCTTTAGTAAACTAGTTTCTAGAAAATTGGCTCTAATCCAGTTAGCCCAGAGTGACCCATAACATATCAATCTGATTTAATCCTAATTTCTCAGATAAAAATACTCTGGAAGCTTTGGGCTGGAGTCAGAAGAGAAAGATGAGTACAAGAGGAGCAGATGAGTAGGGAGAGCGGGCCGCGGCAACGCCAGGACGGAGGTGCCTGAACTGGCAAGAGAAAGTGGACCGAGCAGAAGACCAGGGTGACTGCAGGTCCAATTTGCATAAGTAATGGCACCTACTTAAAAGAGTTGCATCTTTTAGTGGGAGGCATTATGGTAACCATTGTTGATCACCTTGTTTATGGTTTTACATTATCTATTATGTCCACTCTTTTGATTTGACCGACTTTGTTCTGTTATGTCACATTTGGTTTTACTCTCTTCCAAAAAAGTAATAAGAACTGTGAGAACAATAAAAAAAAAAAAAAAAAAAAAGAAGAGTTGCATCTTTTACTAAGTCACTGGAGGGAGAATAGACAGTGTTTTTAAGGGAAGAGACATAAGGAGATTTAGACTTTGAAAAGACCATTCTGGGTATAACATGAAGCAGCTACACTATAGGCAGGATGTCCCAGCTGGAGGATGACCCAGCTGGAGGCCACTGTGAATATGGCCTGGGAGATGAGCGTGGCCTGGAACAGAGCAGCAGTGAGAGAGACGGACAGAGATGGAGATGGATTAGACTGGATAGTGGTCCCTGAGGATGCAGATGACTGTGCCCATCAGAGGTTATGTGGCGATGTTCAAAGACATATTATTATTACTATTGTATTGTTGTTACTATTGCTGCAACTGGGTAGGGCCTGGAAATGTAACGGCCAGGGATGCTACCAACCATTCCACCATGTACAGGACATCTCCCATAACTAAGAGTCCCAGGATCCAAAATGCCAACAGTGCCTGGGTTGAGAGACCATGGAACAGACAAGTACTTAGGGAATAATACGTAGTTAATGTCATAAAACAACTGTTAGTATAATGCCAGATTTATCAAAATAACACACACTGATCACAAGAAAAAACACCATATCTGAAACTGCTTTAGAAAAAAAATGCCTTTTAAATGACATTAAATACCTTTCAGCTGCAAATGAAATTCAGTCATTTTAATAAGTACACATGTGTGTACTTATTAAAATGCTTAGAAAGGGTGGGAGCTTGACAGAAATATATGGTGACTAAATCTAGCATTGTCTGCAAAACAGACACTCCAACTCCAGTAACAGTCAGCAGGATCTAAATTTAGTTTATACTCTTAGTGCATTAAAATAGCATCGAGAAGCACAGGAAGTCTAAAACCATTACACTCCAAGTTTCTGTCTATATTGTTAATAGCTACTTGCCAAGATCCCTGTTGCCCCGTGTGATTACAGACTATTAAAAACATGTCTTCTGTGAAGTCCTCCCAAGAAACAGGAAACGGCGTTAAGGGAATGATTCTAGATAAAATAACTGGCAACATAAACGTCACAAGGTAGGCATTCATAAGGAATATATCGTAAGTTTATAAAAAGAATGATGTTTTGCGAGATGCTTTAAGAAGCTTCTTTATTGTTTATGCTAAACAGTTAAAATGCTTTCTCTACCAGTTCTGGTGTTATAAAAGGAAATTAGAGAAGCACATAAACATTTTTATTTGAAGAGAAGATCTACTAATTGCCTATCATGTGCTGCGGATGCAAGTTGAACTAGGGAAAAGCAAAGCCAAGACCATCATTGGAGATGAGAAAAGATTAAGATCATGCCGCGATGCCTTCGTCTGTCTCATAATCTCTTTTCAAACAAAAACCACAAAGAACAAGCTGAAGATTCATTTTTTTCCTTCCACTTCACAGGTTCTTTTAAAATTCAGTCTGAAATTTTAAAAATACTGCTTTATTTTCTGAAATGTTCATGCAAGATACATGTTGTCTAATAGAGGATGCCCCAAACCTTCATCTGTTACATTCTGTAGCCAGCTAAGCAGATATATACAATGAAGAATGAACCGAGCTAGACTTCAGAATTAATGACCTTCTGTGAGGATGACGAAAAGGTATTTTCTTTGTATTAACATCAGTCAATTTTGTCCTGACATTTGTCCTCCAAACACTCCTTCATCTCCTGTACCTATAAATTTCCAAAGTACTCACAATTTGTGTTTGTCTGTTCTTTATAAGCAGATCACTAGTCTTTAGCTAGGTACATGGCTACCTAGAATGAAGTCCACATTTCCTAGCCACTACTGCATCAAGATGTGGTTACATGCCAAAGAACAGGCCATGAAGGACTTGCAAATATTTCCTTAAAGACTGAGGAAGTGGGGCTGGGGATTTAGCTCAGCGGCATAAGCACCTGCCTTGCAAGCAGTCGGTCCTGAGTTCAGTCCCCAGTACCGATTAAAAAAAAAAAAAAAAAAAAGATGGAGAAAGTGCTTGTTTCTTTCTCCCTCTTGCCTGAAATGTAGGTGTGATGACTGGGACCCTATACTGGATACTGTGGCAAAGCCGTGTGCTTCGAATGTCAGAGCAAACAGAAGTAGGAGTCGGATTCCCTGACATGCCACGGCATATTGATCATAGAGGACCAAACCAAGATGGACTCTTGCTAAAATTGTTCATCAAGATAAAAATATATTGGTCACACAAAGGGGTTTCAAACAGTGAGGTATCCAAAAAGGTGGGGGAGAGGAGACTTAGCCCTTGGAAAGAATTTGACATAACAGAAAAAAATGCAGTTTGCCACGGAATAGTAGCAAATATACTGAAGTAAAATGGAGCCAGGATGAACAGATACTTCTGCACTATTGTATGTCAGAACATATCTAAGGACTAGGCGTATTGCCCCCACTGTGGAAGACTACCCACATCTCACCCCAGCTCAGGCTGCCCTTGCTGAATGCGAACTTCCTTCATGTTGGCTGGCCTAACAATTATCTTGCACCAACACAGCTGGGGAGCCTTGTGCCTGAGGGCTGTGACCTTTTACAAGAGCACCTCAGAGCTGAGGATGATGCTTCATGAAAATTTCTGACCAAGAAAATACATGAACATTACAAAGGTTCACATCTATTATTTCAATATTCCTAACAACTTCCTGAGAGGTAAGAAGCACTGAATGGTGTGCCTATTTGTGCTTATTTGTTTATCTGCTTGTTTGTTTGTTAAGACAAGTTCTCACTGCATTACCCAGACTAGTCTCGAACACCTGGGCTCATGGATTTCTTCTTCTTCAGTCTCCCAAGTAGTTAGGGCTATTCATCACGCATAACAGCACCCAGCTTCCGCACTGTAAAGTGCTTTTAAATAATAGATGTGTGTACTAGGACTGAAAGGGTTTTAAGTTTTGTCCCCCAGGTTCACTCATCTAGAAAGTGGCAGAGTTCCACCTAACACCTCAATTTGTGGTTTCAAGTTTGCTGCTTTTTCTATAATATAGGTCGTCATTTAAAACAGTATGTAGCTAGAATAAATTATCTAATATTCAAATAACTGGCTTTTAAATGTGATTCTGACTAAATTCACTACGAATCTTCAAAATGGACATTACTATTTTCTTCTAAATTACTGTTCTTGGTTTTTAAAAACCTTACTGAGGTCAGTAACTGAAGGATGACATTTTCCATTTATTTTTATTTTTTTCACATCAAATAATATGTATAAACAATGTTGCATGTCTTCTTAAATATGGTCTCCAAGTTTTAAAAAAAGGTGCATAGGGTTTTGGTTTGAATGCTCTTAAAACTAAAACACTGTATCATAACTGAACTGTTCAGGGACCTTATGTTCTGAAGCTGTCATTGATCTTTCTCCTCTGAGGGAAAGGAAGACTTGCTAGCTTCCTTTCTAATGGCCATACAGTAAGAATAAAGGACAAGATATATTTAGACTGTGGTTAGGAAACTAGGCTAGAATACTTTGGTATAAAATAATTTGATGACTATGATCATTCTGAATAGTTTAAATACTCTTTGATCACTATAGAATATAACTCTGACTTCCACCAGATTTTTAAAAATTGCATATATTTGATCACAATGAGTTCCACAGAAAAGGTTCATATGACTTCACTGGTATCATCTACAGTATTAGAAAAAGGTAATTCAAAGTTTTAGAGCATCGATAACGTGTTCCGAGTCTCATCCTTGCACACGGAAAATGGTCACTACCCCACTGGTGACGACAAGGTGCATGAGCACAAATTTTACAGAATAAAGTTTGATAAAAGGTGTCAGCAGTCTAAAATGGGCATTTCCTAAGGCTCTGTGACTCAATTTATAGGGATTATTCAAAGGAAACATGGAATGGTATATCTACAGCTTCACAAGATTATCTATGAAAGCATTTAGAGCATAACTTATAATAGTATAAAACAGGGTAGCACAAATGTTAAATAATAAAAATGAATTAAGCTAACCACTGTACATTCATAAAGCTGTGCACTTTTTAGCTTAACACTTAACATTATTTTAATGTTATTTTAGCATTAAAAATAACATCATTAGTCAGGAATTGCTATGGATAGAATTTGGCCAGGCGAACCAGTAATATTCAAGTCCTGTCTTCCCCCAGTCATTTTCTATCTGTGGTGTTATTAAAGGTCATACAGCATGTGTGACAGGGACGAGCAAGGGGGTACGTGTGCCAGTCTTCTGTCATCAATATGGAACAGCAGAAGCTCTACTTGCTGACACCTCTCTCCTATGTCAGTAGGGCATGTCTTTCCTTCTCCACTCCACTCCCTTGGATATTTGCACCCCTTTAAGCAGGTCCAGGATGCAATTTTTGAATTTCTACTGCTTTTTTATTCAGTAGAATTTCCTCTTATTTCCAGGGTAAGAGTTAACATGATTGGCTGTGCCTGTCTCCTGGCTCCTTCCCATGTTTGATTATTCTTGTCCTAACTATAAAGCAAATAGCAGTTTTCTGAGTAACAGATTTCTTTGATCCTTCTGTTCTGATCTCCAAATCCTAGCAATAGTTTCTTTGTGCACTCTCCACATTCTAAAGCTGTTTGCCTGTGATTTAACTCCATTTCTGAACAACTTACAGGCTAGAACTTAGACTGATTATGGCACAGGCCTATAATATCTTCTTGTTAGTTCTTGAGTTTGTGAAACTCATTTCCCCGAGTTTCTATTTCTCCTGAACCTGAGAGGAAAATGTATCCTCTCTCCTCTCCCCCAGCCTAGTAGGTTTTTATTTTTAACTGTGCCGCTCTATGAGGTTGAATCAATACTCTGCATCTCTGAAGCTAGCCTGAGTTTAGAGGTCACATATTTCAGGCCTAGAGTTCCTGATCAGGAAAACAGTCACTCCTAGGGCACAGGGAGCAGGCAGCTGTAGAGAAGCAACTAGATATGCAGAATCCCAGCTTGTTTTCCTCCCAGTCTCTCTTTCTGAAAGTCTTTCGATGATTTATAGACATGACAACTAATTACATGGGATATTAAGTACCTATCAAATGAGGTATATCCCTGTTTCATTTTTTTAATCTTAAAAAACCCCATGACAGATCATGCTTAGATGGTCTCCCCAAAGCCTCATGCACTCAAAAGTAGGACTTCTGTGAAGTGACTGATCACAAAAAGATACTCACCAGTGGATTAGACTACTGCTGGTCAGAAGAGGTGGGTCACTGTGGATGTGGCAGGAAGGATCTGTCTCTCCCTCCTTGACTGCCCTCTACTTCCTGCCGTGGCCACGCCCCTTTGCCATGCTGTGCTGGCTTGGAGCCGGCCATCTGTGGACTGAAACCTCTATAAAGTGTGAACCAGAATAATCCTCCCATCCTTTAACTTGCAAGTGTCAGTGTTGGGTATTTCTCCCAGCGATGAGAAAGTAACTCAAGCATCTCCCAAAGCCACACTAGAATTAAAGCAGGACAGCCCAAGAACTAACAGTGTTTATCTCCAAGTGGTGGAAGAGGTAGTGGGGGAATACACTGGGGCTTGATTTCACTTTTCAGTTTATATTTTGGAAATACTTACACACAAAAATAATGCACATGTATTACTTTTCCCACTAAATTTGTTACTATTTCCAGTCAGAACATTGGTTCCTTTATCTTTAACATCCTGAGTGAACCTTGTAAGGGGCCTATATTTGTTTTGTTCTGTTTTCAATCCTGATTCATCGATTTCATTATTTTTTAGTACCTTGCTCACTTGGTGTTCCCCGATTTTTAGCTTTAAAATAAGAACTGTTATAGGCTTGTGGAAGAAAAGTTGTTCATTTCTTTAGAATATGAACCTTATGACTATGTAATAATAGTAATAATGAGCACATGCAATCTGGTTTTCAAGACCACTTTTCAAAATTTCCTATTCACATTCACAATCTGCTAGGAAGAGCCACCACTGTAGATGAAAATCATGCAAAATGGCTGTGATTATTTCTAACCATTTAAATTGTTATATTCTGAATCACCTTTATGTGCACATTAGAAATAATTCATATACATGGGATGGATCAGTCCATTGGTGGGCCATATTTGTAGAGTTGCCATCATTTTTAAGTATTGTGATAAACACTTATATCCTCACAGTTTTTAGCAGTAGATAATGAGAAATAGCATATTACAAACAAAAAAAAGAAAGCCTTAGTTTACTTTAAGTTCACCTGCTAAGCTTGTTCCATTTTTAAAAAGTAAAATAAAATATTCATGTGTTACTATTACGTGGTTGAACAAAAAGAAGGACATTTTCTCTTCTATTGATCCATGGTTGCCCATCGCTTCATACAAAATTAATCATTTACACTCACATCTACTTCACATGTGAATGAGGAAGGTAGGAAATGTGCAATGCTTGTCAAATATCATTAGAACCAACAGTTGGAAAAGTAATCAATCCTAACAGCATGACACAACAAATCACAATGCTAACATTCATTAATCGACACTGAACAAAAACACCACCTCTTTACCCACAGAGTAACCCATTTCCACAGGGATGTCCAAGGGTGCCATGACAACCCATCCTCTCAGAGACTTTCGGAAAGGAGTACTAAATGCAAGCCTATTTTCTGAATTAAAAATGTTAAGCTCTTTAAGAAAAATAGCAATACTGCAAGTAGTTTAACATCTTTTAAGATAATCCAAGTACTTAACTCATTTAATATAATTATCTCTTAACATTGTTATATAGTCTCTATTTTCCTGGTGCTCTTTAAAAAGGACAAAATATCCTTCCTTTTACCATAATTTCTCCCTTGTCTATATCTAATTGAAGAGCTTTCTATCAAGAAACTTGAAAAATGGATAATTACTGCTCTGGGGCCTTCCATCAAATATGAACTTGGGAATTAAGAGTTTCTGGCCTTCCTTAATGAAAAGTGGCTGAATTAAATTTTCTTCATCTAACAAGTATCACTTTTTTTTCTTTTGGTAAAAAGTTTCTTAGAGAAGCTCTCTTAATAGCCACTGGCAAAGCCCATAATTCTACTACTGAAACAATGAGATCTATTTTCCAGATCATCAATCTTCATTCTCCAGACAGATACAATTGTTTCAAGAGTTGCAATTACATTATCCCTTGATACTTCTTCAGCCTCTACATTTGGCTGATTCCACAGTTAACAATTAAAAGGGCACAGGAAGTGAGGATTAATTTTTATCTCTAATAATAAAAAGTTCATTGCACTGAATTTCTTGGTATCAGCATCATAGCTCTCCTAATTAGAAGTGCAATAGTTATCTTGCAAAGGAGAAATGGAAGTCAATATCCATTCACGGATTATACACTGAGTATAGTAACTGTAAGCATCCCCACTGTATGGCGAGCACCTTTTTTACAACATATAAACGAATACATTTAAAGTGGGCAGTACAGTGCTGAACCCATAGGAGATGCTCCCGAAATGCCTGGTCTCCTTTCTCCCTTGCCAGGCTTAGCCTATATGGCTACACCTTCATCCACCTCCTGATGTTATACGTTACATATTTTTGAAGAACAAACCATAAAGAGCAAAATATAGACTTGGTAGATTTAAAAAAAAATGTTGATAACCAGGATGGGCCCCACAAACCATCACATACATATCCTATGGTAGCCGGCGTCAGAGTCACCAAGATGCAGTGTAAATATGATATGGGAGACTCCTGGCTCTCTGTCCTCTCTGTTAAAAAGGGGCCACAGGCCACCTTTTCTTCACATCCCTCTTCTCTCTCTTTTCATACGAGTATTCCTTCCAGATGCACATTTCCACTTTGTTCACTTGAATCAAGGGCAAAAAAAGCTGGCCGAGTACACAGATTCAGTTACACAAACACGTTTATCTCCCTCAATCTGAGCACTAATCTCATTAGGCTACCATAGGTTC